AAAAAAAACTTGGCTCAAGAAAAATGCTTACGGCCGGAATTTTTTCTGGATGGGGTTTTCCGAGTTTTGATTGGGAGAAGAAGTTGATGACGAGAACCTCATCTCTCTCTCTCTCTCTCTTGTATAATTAAACACAATTATTAATGATTAAGAAAAGTTTTATTTGTAAGTCGTCAAAAAAAAGAACTTGATTACTTCTAGCAATCATTTTTTTTCATGGGTTTTCCGTTTTGTTGTCAGCTTTTTACGACCAGGCTTCTCATGAGGAGGTCAGTTTAACAGAATGAGGATATTGAGCCCGTTTTTTTACTTACTGGTCGGCTTGGGCTTCTTTAATAACTATTCCGTGAGCGATTTACAAGTTGCGGAAAAGGAGAGCAAAAGAAAGATTGTGGGGAGAACAGATAATAAGTGCGGTAGTTGTTCAGACTAATTTAGTGAGTGGGTTGGTTTTTGCTGGGGGTGGTTTTCTGCTGACTTTTCCGGGTTGAAAAAGAAGAATTAATTTTCTCCCGTTCCTTTCTTTATTTTCCCAAGTAAGAAGGGTTAATATTTGACTGATCTATAATTTTTTTTGACATATAGCGGCTCCGGCACTGGTGGTGGTTTATTTTTGATGTTACTGCCGAGTTGACTTACTAGCCAAGAAAATAAAAGTTAGTCTCGACCTTAACACAATTTCTCCGGCGGTTTATTTCGTTTACAATTTGGTTCGTCCGGAAATACTTAATAACGAAAGAAAGCTACCTCACAAATATCCACCGGACTACCCTTATCCACCATTTTTCTGGTGTAAGGGTTTGCCTTCGCATCCTTCTGACCAAGAAAAATGCTTTTGGTTCCAGCAGGGATGAAGTCGATGGCAAATTGGCTTAATTTGAACGACGATAACGGTTACTTTTTGGTATTTGGTTTTTTCCGGATTGCTGCTTTTTCTAATCAAGATTAAAAGCAAGCAAGCCCAAGAACTCAAAAAAAGGCTGTTAGCAATCACACTTACCAAGCCAAAGGCCAGCAAAAACAAATTAATAATATCTGTTGCTAAATCCGAATATACCTTGCCAGACGAAACTCGGGAAGCATTAGAAAAAATTCTCAAAATTGCGGTTGAAAAACAGAATATTTCTGGTCTGGTTAGTCTTTCCTTAATTAGCAAAAAAGAAAGCCGGCAGTTAAATTTGCGTTATCGGAAGATAAACAAATCTACTGATGTTTTGGCTTTTCCTTTTTATTATAACTACCAGAAAGAAATTGGCTCTTGCTCCGTTGGGGAATTACGGGATTTAGGAGATATATTTATCTGCTATCCCGTAGCCCAGAAGCAAGCCCAAGAAAATCAACCCTCTTTATCACAAGAGATTTGTTTCTTGTTTCTTCACGGCTTACTTCATTTGCTAGGTTACGACCACGAAAAGGATAAAGACCGAAAAATAATGTTTGACTTACAAGACCAAATATTAGAGAAAATAAGTCAAGGGGAAAAAACAGATATATTACAAAGTTAAAATTAAATGGTTAGTATTTTAAATCTCTAACTTCTTATTACTAGGGATTAAAGGGAATGATTGACTGATATTAATTATTAAGAGATTAATATAATTGCTTTTTTT